AAAAAAAAAAAAAAAAAAAAGGTTGTACATCTCGATGCTATTCTTATGATCCAGTGACCAATGGTTAGGGAAAAGGTAATAGAGAAAGCTTCTGGGTTGGGGGTGATGGAACAGTCCTAGAATTCCAGCACTCTGGGAGACTGAGGCAGGAGAATCACAAGTTCAAGCCCACCCTAGACAACTTAGGAACTTAGCAAGATGTTATCAAAAAATAAAAACTAAAAAAGGGTTGGGGATGTATCTCAGTGTAAAGGCTCTGGGCTCACTTCAACATACCCCCCCAAAAAAAAATCTGGGAGAAAGTTAATGGGTAAGGAGAACATGTTGATGAACGCCTGGATAAAGAAAACGCAGGGTGTAAATGGTGGGGGGACACAGAGGATAAGAGACAGGGCTCTTGCACAGTGGGTTCAGGAAAAAACGCCAAAGGGCTGGCCCTAGGAGTGGAGCAAGGCCGAGGGAGGGAAGCAGAGCCCCGGCCAGTTGGCCCCAGCACACTCCCAGAGTGAGGTGGGGTGCTGGAGGGCCCTACCTGGGGAGGATCTGTTCCCAGAACAGAGTTGCCATTTATAACCAATGGGCTATCTTTTGCTGGCCAGAACCCTCTAAGAATCCTCCTCAGAAACATAAGGCTTCAAAGGTTTTCCTGGGATTGGCCAGCTGGTACTGTCCTCAAACCCCAGTGGGGGGCAATGGGAAAAGACCCTGAGCTTCCCTCTTGTTGTTCCGGGCCGGCTGTTCCCAGTCTCAAATACCTGACTTCAAGTTGAGAAATTAAAATGGATTTGGCTAAAGCATTTCAAGTTAGGTCACCTAAAAAGAGCCACAATGCTTATTCAGCAGTTACCTTCCACAAGAGATAAGAAGGCTGCACAAAACACAAATGCTATCCCTGAAATTCTGGCATTCTTAGGAAGCATGAGCGCCTTGGCCGTCAAAAACTCTGGGAAGTTAATGGAGGCGGACAAAATAAAATTCGCTTCTTTGCTTCATACTTTTTCCTTCTAGCCCCATACAATGTGTGTCTGTTTAATGGCCCACCCTGCAATAAGCATGCTTTCATCTGTATTTACAAAACTGTTTACACAGATGCACATACCATTTCGGTCTGACAAAGACTCAAGTCTGCGGGGTGAGAAGGGAAAGAAAATAGGAAACATCTAATAACAAAAGCACCAGAGGACTTAGTCATGGACACAAAGTTAGCTTCATCTTACTCCTTTATACCAAAGAGTTCCTGAATTTGAGATCAAGCCCATGAAATAACCCAAAAAGAGCAGATCTGAGTGCTCCCTTGTATTTACAAAGTTGCCTGTGGCCCGTCTTCTGCTTCCCTTCCCTCCGCTGGTCCAGAGGATTCCTTTGGCTGAGTTTATTGTTACAATTGTGTGTCAGAGAAAACTATGGTTCTGACTTAGGATTAAATGCTCAGGGATTCTTTGATAAGCACTGCCATTAAAAATTGAATTGTATAATTTCATAATTAAAAATAGATATAGAAACTGAAAATTTACCACTTCCTAATTATTTTACTATACTTCACTATTAATTATGCTCTTGGGGTTGTGACTCCATATCTAGAAGATAAAATACTGTACCATGGGCTGCTACTGCATATCTCTTTCCAACTTGGCATTCAGAGTTTTAACAGTGACAGCTCATAGTCACCGATGGAGTGGATTCACACCATCAACTCAGCAAACGCTACAGAAAAGATCTTCATGATTTTCCCACAAAATCCATTGCAGAACATTCACCAGAACATCAGTGGTTATAGCCAAATGCAAAATGGAAGGGAGAAGGAATTCTGCTGGCTACTATCAACCTGTATTTAAGTCATCTCTTGAAGCCTCTAAAAGTTTTCCAATATTTTATTGAAATATGAATTTCTTCATTTCTAGGAGTCAGTAACTTTACAGCATTGTCTCCAGTCCTATGTCTGGCTCTTGTCTTGCTCATTTGTAAGGAGTATTATCTCAGCCTCTATCTCTTTAACTGCCTATTATCAGGTTCCGGAGTCATGGGTTTACTGATGTTATATATTCTTCCCTTGGAAAGGCCAGTAAATAGTTTTAATAAAATAAGTTATATTATGTAAAATTATGTATAGCTAAATCACTCAGTCTAAGGTAAAGAACCTAACTGCATAAGTCACCTACTAAAATTAGTCTCCAACTTTACAGAACAAGTACACACATATGCTCATAGAAATGGGATGATCTGATGTAAAGTTTAAGTGAAGCAATTTAATTCAAGCAATGTGAAAGGGAAATGTTCAAATGTCAGTATATAGATTAATTTTCCATTTAAATGTTTATAAAAGGGATGTTTATAAATGACCTTCTCTACAAATTATTGTGCAAAATTACTTGGCTCTCCTTACAACTACTATCGGCCTTCAGAATTGCGAAAAGGAATTTCGCGCAGTAATGAAAACACCGATTTTGACAGCACAGTCTGTGCAGTTTACCTGTGGTCCATGGGGAAGCTGTTATCTGGAGGGAGGTGAGTGGGGAAGACCCGGTCAGGCTTCGGAGTGTGAGTGGAGTTTGGAGATGCATGGTGCAGTGGGGACACTGGTGTGCTGGATGGCGTGGGGGGGTTGGAGGGCCTCATTCCCACTTGTGGCTTCTGATCATAGGCACTGCCCAGGAAACAAGGGAAAAGAGAAGAACATTGGTTGCTTTGAAGCATCATTTTCAAAAATGTTTCTATTCCAAGGAAGAAAAGATATTTTAACTTAGGACCTAAGGAAATGAAAATTTTGTGGGGTTTTTGTTTTATTTTTGAAGCCCAGAAAGTGTAGACTTCAAACTCACAATGCTCTTAAACAGAAGATAGAATAATTAGTACAAAATCTTGTAGTGACATAAATATATATACAAAATACATAATTTATATTTTATGAAAAAATGAATTTTATTTAAATGTCTGAACAAAAAGGACATTCCAGCTTAAATCACTATACTTTCTTAAAAAAATCAATCAATCAAGATCTGAGTGATGGCACAATGCTACAATCCCAGCTACTTGGGAAGCTAAGGCAAGAAAGAGAATCACAAGTTTGAGGCCATGCTGGGCAACTGAGAAAAATCCTACCTCAAAATAAAATAAAAAAGGGCTGGGGATGTAGCTGAGTGGTAGACTGCTTGTCTAGTCCAGGCCTCAGTATTGCAAAAGGAATAAAAAGAACCAAATACCTATTTTTTCTTAGAAAGGAATATGCCTTTTTGCCTTGACATACACAATAATTTACTTCATTCATATAAAAATTATATTCAAATGCAAAAATACTTTGTCCAAATAGAAGAGTATGTGCTACATGCATGCCCATAGCTTTAAAGCAAAGTCAACTGTACATAAATAAAGACCCTTATGTTTGGTTTCACCCATGTCCTTTACTACTATTTCGGAGTGAAAATAATTTTTATAAAATGGCTCACCTGACTTATTTCTATGAAAAATCAGAAGACACATTTTCAATCCTAAGCTATTGCTTTTTCTGTCATGCAATGTTGTATTAAATTACATTGTTTGCATAAAGATAGAAGTACTAGAATTTATTACATATACCATATATCATTGTGAAAATTATTGATCCCTCAAAGCTTCAAAATATTCAGGAAATTCCTGTATTGTTAATTTATGAAAGTCAAATATAAAACAAAAGGGATTTCACAGTCACAGTTCTGATCAATGTTGAGATGCAAAGACAATTCTCTGTCTAACTGGTTCATCAATTGGAAATTCGTCAGTCTGTTAAATACCTATGCTGGGGACACACAGCACCTTATAAAGACAATGTCAAAAAAATACCCCACTAAACTATAAAACTCAGGTTGATCAATAGTATTTTTTTCTGAATTCAGTATGCCTTTAATAGTTATGAAATCGTTTTTTTAATGACATCTTTAAATTTTCACCTGAGATGGCTCATAATTTCCTGGGTCGGGTGAATCTCTTCAAAAAGCAAACATAAAAGACAAATTTGCAAAAACAAGTAGCAATAAAATACCTGAGCACTGGTCAGCTGCCCTGAGTTGGTAGGAATCTGAATTTCAAGAACCTTCTCAGATACAAAGAATGAATTCTATAAATGTGTGAAGAAATAGAAATGCCTTTGACTCATAATGCATTATGAGTCTAATTGATATAACTTGGAGAACAGGGCAAATATTTGAAATCAGTTTTATAAGTTTTCAAACCAAGTCCTTTTAAGAACTAAGTTTCTCCTGTAACTGAGAGTAATATTCAATAGACAGAGCCAACTTTTTCTTTATGCAATTAGAGGCCCACATGAAAAGTAAAAGCATGCAATTTACTGTGAAGAGTTTTTAATGAACATATAGGTTATCAAATTTTCTAACAAATGAACAATGGACTTTGACTGCACCGCCCTTTATTATCATCAGAATGGCTGGCGTTTTAATAGATAATAGCCTCTGATTAGTCTACAAAATTCTGGTTTTATTGCAGTTGCCCATGAACGTATCTTATAGATCATCTGCAAAGCCTGTCAGATAACTAATGTACTGCTCAGACTTGCCAAATGTTTCATTTTTTTCCACCAACTCTCTATCTAAAGTGCATAATGCACTCATTCTAATGGAAACTTTCAAAGGCTGCTTGTGCCAAATATGACCCTCTTCTCAAACCCAGAATGCATCAGTACAGAAAAAAAGCAAATAACGATTTGGATGAAAATTATTGCTTTAAAATGATGATTCTCAAAAGTGTGTGATTGTAGAGCAAATGGTTCTTTAGAGTTCTGCTAAATACATCACCTAATTAGCTTGTTACATACCGGAGATGTAACTCATAAATATGACGGGGAGTTTTATGTTATTTTGGACTTTTTATTTCAGAAAGAACCATGACTTAATATACATAGACCTCGCTGCTTTACCTGACATTGTACAGGCACTTTTCTCCATAGCTGAATTTAAAGGGCTGTTCTTGACTGCAGGCAGATCCGAGTTCTGAGCATGGACTGTGGGGTTCTTTCTTGATTTTCAGTGGTAGGCCATGAAAAGCCACTGAAACATAAATAGAACAAAATGAAACTACCGACAAAAATGAAATGTGGCTACTTCTCCTGATAAAATGTCATTAACATTTCATATTAACTTAAATACAGAACAAAAACCACATTTGATGAATTTCAGTGGCAAAAAAAAAAAAAAAAGATTCTGGAGAATCTCTGTATCCTCCTTTCTGCTTTTATTGCATAATAAAATATATGACCACATTTTCTCTGATGGTAAATCAAATTACTTGTTATTTGTTTAGCAAATATCAACAATGTGACAAGCTTAGTTTTCAGAAAGAAAATTTTGAAAACATTTCAGAAACATTTCCAACAACTGAAACAGAAAAAAAAAAAAAGAGAGAGAGAGAGAAACAAATAACTGGCCAAGAATCAACTGAAGACTGGGATATAAAGTTAGGCACTACTGAAAGGAAAATGTCTCTACTACATCAGTAGTAATGGTTTAATGGAAAGAAAGCAGGATGATGACAAAGAAAACCCAGATGGAAGTCCAGGGGAGATTCATGATGGCTTTGTCAAAAGATTCAACATCTTTAAGGATTATGGTTATTTATAAAATAAAATTTAAAGTGCCTGCCCACCAGAATTGTAAGAGTGAAATCTGAAAGATATATGAAAGTTATTTGTTACATGTAATCTACCATAAAATAATTATTCTATATCAGGAGATATTTTTCTTTTTTTATATGACTTAATGTATGGTTATGGTTAGCCTGTGTTCATGCAGGCTTAATACAGTGCAGAGGTCAGATTATAAAATATAAAGACCAAAAGAAATATGTATTGTAAATATGTATATTTACATAGACATATGTATATTTCATAGGTTCAAAAACAAAGAGGTAGCCAAGCATGGTAGTGCACACCTGTAATTCTAGCTACTCAAGAAGCTAACAGATTGCAAATTTGAGGCCAGGTTAATAAACCTTAGCAAAGTTCTGTCTCAATCTACAGTAAAAAAAAAAAAAAATGTTAAAAGAGCTGGTGAAGTAGCCAAGTGGTAGGGGGCCTGCATAACATGCCAGCCCTGGTGCTTTTCCCCCCAAAAGAAAAACCTAACAACCTTTTTTTTTTTTTTTTTTAGTCTTCAATATGAAACATTTACAACAAACATGAAATATTTAGATTCTATCAAAATAATATAAATTTTAGCATAAATGGCAAATTCACTTTTTAAAGAAAGAGGGGATATAGATATAAGAATGAATTTAGGTTTTTTTTCTTTTTTCTTTTGAGATAGCATTTCATTATGTGGTACAGGCTGGCCTCATATTCACTGTATAGCTTGGGCTGGTTTCAAATTGCCTTTCAGCCTCCTGTGGGCTGGGATTGCAGTCCTATACCATCACATCCACAAATTTTTTTTTCCTTTTTTTTTTCCTGTGCCTGGGATCAAACTCAGGATATTGTGCTTGTGAGGCAGGTGTGGTGTCACTGAGCTAAATCCCCAGCCCACAAAAGTTTATTTTTAATATGTTTGATCTCCACAGGTATCTTATGGTCAAATAATCATATTTACAGGTTTATATCCAAGAGAAGAGAATACATATTTTCACCAAAAGACATACATAAGAATATTCATAGAAGCTTTATTCATGATAGTAAGAAATGAAAATCTCAAAAACATTCATTTGTAGGAAAGTGGATAAATAAATCCTTCTATATTCATTCAATGAAATCAATATTTTGTAGAAACCACAAGGGACAAATTACCTACCAATGCATCTGAAAACATGGATGCCTCACATAGAGTTAGTAAAAGAAGCCAAGCACAAAAGAATAGACAAAATAGAAATTTTATAATAGGCAAAACTAGTTGAGAGGGAAAGAATTCACTTCTGTTGTGACCCTATTTGGAAGATTAATTACAATGATGTTTCTAAGGTGGGCCCTGATCCAATGTGACTAGTGTCCTAAAAAGGGTGGAAATACAGGAACGTGACGCAAAGAACAGCATGTGAAGATAGAGCTTCTACAAGTCAAGGAGGGCCAAAGACAGCCAGAGACAGCCAGCCCACCAGCAGAAGTAGGAGAGAAGCAGGAAGTTCTCCCTTACAGCCCTCAGAACCCTACATACACACACTGAGCTTCAGGCCTCCAGAACCCATTCCTGATAAATCCATTTTCACTTGCTAAGTCACCCAGTTTACGGCAGCCATAATAAACAGTATACCAGTCTCAGAAATTCTGACTCACTAGGGTCAGATGTATCAAGACTTTGTATGCTATAAAAGTGTCTAGGTAATTCTCTTAATTGGGCAAATTCTCAAGCCACTGTGATGCTTTGCAACACTTAGGTCCAGTGTACACTGCATTCAAAGAGGTCTAACACTTCAAAAAACTTCTTAAACATAATTATATAGAGAGCAGTGTATTCCATTTCCTCAGATGCCAATACTGGAAGACCACTAGAGGTGCTCCAATTCTAGTGATTGAGGGCTTCTACTCTCTTCATACAATCGATATGTTTGGGCCCCAAAAAATGATTCTTTTTTTAAAAATCATAAGCCAAATTAGTAATCCAATGAATCTGAGTTGATGTGGATTTTTTTTTAATTGCTACATGTGAGGAATAAAAGAGAAAGCCAGGCTGAAGACCCTCAACCTGCTGAACAAGAACCTTAGGATGCTTTATTTCCTGCTTCGTGGAGATCCTATGTCACAGAAATGACTTCTCTTGTTTGTTCTTAAGTCAGGGTAGTCTAGAGACTCCCACCAGAGAGGACTGAGTTGAAAACATGTTGAGTGTTTCATCACAGGGCTGAGAGTCTGAGCGTCTGCTCACAGGCGGTTTTCCAGCTCATTGGCACAGGCACTAGTGAAAGCAGCACATTCATTTTGTGCAATTTGCTTTACCTTCCCACATGGAGTTGGTGCATGTAAAAGGCTGTTAAGTACTAAATTATTCCTTATCAAATCACCATCATCTGGAGTCATGATCAACACTAATTAAATTACTTTTGCTGAACACGGTTCCAGCCTGCTGTTGGGGCTGCTAGGTACATTTCATTTCACTTACAGTACCATCCTTACTGGGTCTGGAGCAGAGAGCTACAGGCATCTGCATTGTTTGTATTTTTAATTAAAGTGAATCTTTCCTTCTTCAAGTGTATCAAATCAAGTGAGTTAACTCCTTCATTTCATTTACCGAGAAATCATTATTCAAAATGATATTATGTCCTTACCCCTGACTTCAGACAATTCAGATAATTTATCTATGAGATCCGCAGTCTTTCTCAAGCATTCCTCAAATACATTTTCCATGCAAACTTTTATGATCTGCAACTCCTCCACACAATCAGATCTTTGGGAGGAGAGGCAGAAAGAACACTCTAGAGATGGGTCTTGCATTTTTTCTTTGATGGAAGCTTGACCTTTAAAACCACATCTTAAGTCTAACTAATGATGACTGAATTCTTCTAATGGTTAAATTTAAGTGTTACTAAATACCAGGACTTAAAAATATGTACTTCCAAAATAAACTTAACCACTTCTTAATTCAAAAGTTTACTGGGGTCATGGTATTCATTGTTAAGATAAATCACTAATTGTTTTCATGTCAGAACTATGAACTATGAGACATTTTGCTTGCAATATTTTTCCACCTACATTTTTAAAAAAGGGCACATTTTGTCATGTTTTTGCTGGAGTAGAGAAATGCCCTTAGCTTTGCATGAAGAGTGACAGAGTACAACCACATGTTGGTTAAGGATGTACATATAAAGTCATACTGGAACACTTGAAATACAAATGGAGAAAATGAATTTAAAACTTGCTCAAAGGAGAACAATTTCCTAAATGATCATGACATAAGAGTATTAGTTGCATCCTTAAATTGAAAACAGACTATGCTATAAATGCCCAGTAAATCTCAGTCCAGAGAACAAACAATGAAATAGATAAATCAAATTCTATTTATGTCCATAGTAAAGGTGATGGATTCTCATAAATTTAAGAAAGATGTCTTTTAAGTGCCAATTTAAACTGATTCGGTTTGAAATACTAATAGGAAATTCTATTTCCTATATGTTAAAAAAAAACAAATTTACATAATATTATCATTCAAGTCAAAGCATTTATTATTATTGCCATTTTTCAGTTCTATTCAAAAAGTATTGCGATAGTTTGGGTCTTGCATTTCCCCAAGGTACTCTTTGTGTTGGGGGCTTGGTCCTGAGCTTGTGACCCTATTGGAAGATGATGTACCATCCAGCCAGACAGCAGAGCCTGGTAGGAGGGAGTTAGAGAACAGTGGGCATGTCTGTGCAAAGGAACTGGGGTCCCAGCTTTTCCTCTTCCTCTTCTATTCCTTGTGCCCATGAGGTGAGCAATCTCCTCTACCATGTGTTCCCACCATGACATACCAAGCAACAGGGCCCAGGCAGTATGAACAGAAACCTTTCTTCCTTTTAAGTTAAATTTTCTCAGGCATTTTGCCACAGTTACCAAAAGCTGACTAATGCAGGCATAAACAAGCAAAGCACTGTGTCTAACTAAAGACCTAAGACTAAATTGTAACAGGTTAAGAATCAGAGCCCCAGGCTTTGGTTTTAAATCTCAAATCTTTCAGCATATAATTCAAATTTATTCATATACACAATTTCCTTCATGCTTGAGCATTGCTATAACATTACACAGGATATGTCTTTATGAATTCGTTCCTTCAATAATTAATAAATGTACTGCATCCTAGGCACTATGGTAGAGGCAGAAAGGGGAAGGAAAATGTGGAATGATGGAATGAAGAGGAAGAATAAGACATGGCCCGTACCATCAAGACCTCCTAGGAGTCCAATTAGAGCTTTACTTAGGCCTCTAAAAATATTTTTGCTAATAAAGTTAATAGCAAGTATATTGGATTCTTTGTGTAATTCATGTGTATGTGATACTTACATTTGTGTACATGACCTAATATATTCTTGGCACTTGTATCTAAAAAAAAACAAAAAACAAAACTTTTCAGAGCATACGTGCTTGCTTGCATACATTTTCCTGTCTCTCAATTTATTACTGTGACCAAAGACTTTTAAAAAATCACACTACTCATATTCTACTGAAGGAAAAATGTTGCTATCCAACATCTAAAGCTCCTGCACGGTGATAACCAAAGTGCCACAAGTAAGGGAAGGGACTTTTTCTGTATGCGGACAGTGAAGGTAAACAGAGTGACAAGTTGTCTTGACTCTGACCTTTCACTTTGCTTTCCTCCTGAACTCTTATTCTAAGAGTGAAATAGAGTAGTAATTTCTGTAAATACAGAGCAATTACCCTGAGAAAAGAAACACATCACACTTTTAATTCTTCTCTAAATAGAACCATGCTTTTGAAGCAAGTCTATAGTTTATCAAGGAAACCTAGCTAGACATACAAAGGCTTGACGACAGTCTCCTTCCCCTGAGGTTGGAATTTCTGGTCTGTAGTAGTGCTTTAGAATATTCTACTGCATGATGTTCTCGAGCAAGGCTTGGCAAATTACACCCCAGGGGCCACCTGCAGCATCCTACCTGTCTCCATAAGCAAAGTTTTGACAGAACACTCTCCCAACCCACTTATTAGGGGATGGTCCAGGGCTTCTTGGAGCTACAGTGGCTGAATCAAATAGGGGCAAAGACCATATAACCTGCAAAGCCTAAAATATTTACAATCTGATCCTTGAGAGAGGACAGTCTGCCAATACCTCTTCCAGAATATGGTAATATAATAAAAAAGGAGAAAGAAAATATGAAAGGCCAAAAGGAAGAGTGGCAAGATACCACTAACCTCATCAATAAAGGAAACTGCATTTTAACCTATTAACACTTTGTTTGCTCTGCCTCTGAAAACCCAAGGTGTTCCATTTATGTAGTCAATTTTCAGGGATTGCATGAATTAGCTAATGAAAAATGACATGAAATTGAGACTAAAACGTTACAAATTTATGAGTTTTGAGGAACTTCAAAGCATTTACTTAGGCCAAGGTGACGTATAACATGGGAGAATTTTTCACACCTTTTAAAAAATATAACTGAAAAAGTCAAAACAAATCATGCCATGGACATCAAAGTGCTTGTAAAAAAATATCACTTGGCTAAAGCAGAGTTTTAAAAAAAATTCCTTAAAAGGGGAAAAACTAAATGGGGCACATAAATTAGATTATTTAAAGCCAGGTACAAACATGGCATGAAAATGTATGCAGCCTTTCATACATACATATATATTTTTTTCTGGAATTTATTCAGTAGATGAAAAGCATTCACTTTAAGTTAATATCACTTCCATTTCAGGTGATAAATGGATGGCAATGACCTCAATTAGTGCTCAGTTACATTCGAGAAGCAAAGGGGAAGGTTTGTGTACAAATAAAGACAATAGTGTCACATGCTATATAAAATCCATCTTCCAAGACACAGAGAAAAGCAGAGGGCACTTGAGCTGCCTCTGAGCCTCTCAAAGATTCTTTCCCAATCCATTTACCTCTTCCAAGCCCTCCCCACCCCCACTGTGTACACATACCACTCACACATACACACGCCGACATCCATTACTAAAGCACCTAATCTCCGCTATCAGCAGAGTGCCGTTATGGGGCCATTAAGCCATTTCTCTTGTTTACAGTGCCTGAAGAAAGATGTGAATTATGTCTGTGACGAAACAAGCGATAACATTTCTAAACTGCTATCAAAATGCAAACTGAAACACATTTAAGGACAGAGACCCTGATTCGAGTTTTCATGATTTTCCATTATATGCAGCATCTGGAAATATATTCACCTATAATATTTCTGAGACAGGAATTTCGACCACAGCACTGCAAGCTGATTTTTTTTTTTTGCTTAAATAAGATTCTTTAAGTAGAGCAGTTATAAGAAATATGATAAACTTTTTAAAAGAATATTATCATCTCTCAGAGATCCTAAGCCTAGTTTGCCCCTACATACAATTTTGACAATATACAAGAGGTTATTTACTAGTAATGAAAAGGGCAAAGGAAGGCAGTCTCTCTCCCCTTTTTATGAATCTCCGAGTTTTTAAACAGAAGCAGACATTAGATATGTTCAAGTCTGGGGGATTGAGCCTATGTTTCTTTAAGCCTGTGTAGCAAAAAAAAATAAATAAAATAAAAAAACTTGGGAGGAGGCCCAAAGTGTAAAACATCCAAAGGAGTTCCTCTTGCCAGGGGAAGGTTCTGCCATTGTCCAGAGACCTCAGCCCTGCTCCCCGAAGTGGATCCTTAGCACCCACAAAGAATTTCCTGAGCAGTTTGCAAACCAGTACTGGGTTTGAATGAAGTCACATACTTCTCAGAAGAGAGTGTCCAACTATTTTTTCCTTTTTTGTCAATATGGAACTGGTATGAATAACAGAAACTGCAATCTGTATTTCAAAGATTTCCGAAAGATCATGAGAAGGGGCACGTATGAATAAAGAAGGAAAGTCTGGGAGGTGATCCTGGACTGCATCCCCCATCCACCACGATCGTCCACAGGCTTGGAAATGGAATTCATATCAGCAATGAGAAGCCAGGACTCCTTAGTCTGCCCAGTGGAGCCTTCTGATGATGACATGCGTGGCTTCACAAGGCAGCTACTTATCAAAAGTGGACTCCATAGAACAACTTTCTCCACACTGTAAAGTACTACGATAATGTCTTAATCAACAGAATAAAACGGATAGCTCTTCTGAGTCTGGGTCTGCCTTCATCTCGTCAAGAAAGTTTTTGTGAATACAAAGATGGCACCAACTCTCAGTCATCAGAAAGTCACTGCACCACCAGCCCCAACGACAGTCTAAATCAGAGGTTGCCAGAGATTCTATTCAGTTCGGAATGGTTTCAAATAAATACACTTAGTAGTAATGACTTAAACCTCAACTTAATATTCCATTCTAGATTAAAAATGGATAAAAAAATTCAGATTTATATCTTCTCCAGAAAAAAATTAAAAAGCACATTATCCAACAATACTGGTCCACTTTTCAATTTGAAAAACGGGTCAGCCATTAACTGAGCCCATTATCAGCTGCACCTTTGGCCAGAATCTGCATTCTCCTATCTGCTACTCTGCCTCCTTCACCACTCCACCTTCCAGGATCTCTGGGTCTAAACTCACTCTGCATACTTATCTCCTTGCCGTATGAGCCTCTTACCTTAGCAAAAAAGGCATTAGCATGCACATGTCCACATGAAGATGGGCACACACATGTCCACACATGCTCTCTCCTCTTTTCTCACACACGCATTGCCTCTAATCATAAATCAATAATTTGAAAATCACTGAGACTGATGCCTTAGATACTTAAGTACTCATTTTCAGCTCATAGCAAGTAGTGGTAAAGCCATCAGGTACCTAACCTGGTTTCAAGTCTTGCCACTGCCACTTAGTAACTACAAGACGAGATAACCCTTTTGACCTCTCTGAGCTTTACTTCCTTATCTGCCAGATGGGGTAATACAGCCCCTGCCTCATCACAAAATGTAGTGAAGCACTATGTGTAGAGTAGAGAGTGGGTCTTTTGTAATGCTACATGTGAGCCTTGTTACTTTTCAAACCCTCACCTTTAGGCATTGTAGCTAGAACACGTGTATTTCCCAGAAACAAAAGCACACTGATTAAGACCTCGGAGACAGTCCTGACTTTGCCACTTTCTAGCTAAAAGACCTCTATGTTACTCAGTTTCCCCTTCTGTAACATGAGGACTTCACACTTTCTTCACCGGGTTTGTGGAAGAACTGAGTGAGGGGACACACGAGAACTTCGTAACTGGCATATGGTAAGTACTCGAAAAATGTTTGTTACAGCTATTCTTAGTCCAAACAATTCCTTATACAGAAGCTAAACCAAGACTCAAGGAAGAAAAATGATTTACGGTAGAAACAGGACTTCTGGTCCTCACTGTTATTCACTATGTTTTGTATTTCATCTTGCTCCTGATTTCTCTTTATGTTGGTGAACTACATATTAAGAGGGAAAAATATCAAACATAAAGAACAATCTGTTAGGGAAAAATATCCTGAATGAAGCCCAAAACAGCATGGCCTGATATGATACGATAAACATTCCACTGGGAGTCACACAGTCATACAACCTCTGCCTAGGTTTCTACCCCAAACTTACCTAGCCCAGTAACATGGGCTAACTGTGCAGCCTCTCTGGGCTCCTCCTAAAAATGGAGGCTAAAAAACGCTCCCTATAGCTCTAAAATGTAATGCTGGGTGTAAAACCTGCTTATTGATGAACACAGCAAAGGACAATGGCAGAGAACTCTGAGGGCATAAAATTCTGAGACCATTTAGTAAAAGACGCACAGAGCTCCTTACGCCTCAGTAATAACTGAGGCCTGTGCTGCACCTCAGAGGAGAACAGAAACTGGCATGCAAACCGGTGATTCTTAATCACCATGAAAAAGTCAAATAGTGTTGAAATACTTTATTTAGGAAGGGAGGGTGCCTAATGCACATTAGAAAGATGCGCGTGCAATACGGTTGACATTTAAAACCGCTTGATGCTTTAAAGGGTGTTCCCAGTCTCCTTTAAATTCGATTACATGGACCACCTACTTTCTACTAGATGTGGGAAAGTAAGATATTATCATATTAATAAAACGAAAAGCAAAATCAAAAGATGGAAAGTTGTTTTCCCAATTTTAAAAGCATCATTAATTGAAAAATACAGAGACCAAATACACACTGTGTTGATTCATCCCTCTAAATTTTAAAACCCAAACTTAATATAATGGCACTTCAGCAGGAGTGGTACTAAATGATCTTCATCTTCTCTGTCTAATTGCCCTGGGAGGGAACTGGTTCTTCCATCTGGAAAAGGGTAAGAACAGGGAAAGGAAGGCCTAATGTATGAACAATCCAAACCTACTCAGTTTTGCTTTCTGCATTGGCTTCAAATCAGATCTTCCTACCCCTACTGGTCCAGTAGATGGAAAGCAGCACGACACAATTT